CCGGAGCGGCCCCGCGGCGGGGATGGGGCTCTGTCCCCGCTCCCGGACACAGTGCCCGGCGGGAGGGAGCCCCCGCAACCTGCAGGCTGCGCCGGGCTGCAGAAGTGCCGTGGTAACCCCCCCCTGCGGGGAGCTGCATCCCGGCACCCGCCCAGGGGCACCCATGCAGGGGGGCCCACCCAGGGATACCTGCTCAGGGATACCCATGCAGGGACATCCACCCAGGGGCGCTCCCCCACAGGTACCCCCACAAGGCACCGCACAAGCTCCTTCCCCCCCAGCCATGTTAAGGCTGAATCCTGTAACTGAGCACCAAGGGGTTACTGGTGCCTGCGGGCAGGGCCAGGCCTGGGGACAGGAGCTGCTGGGGCTGGTGTGGGTGAGAGCCCCAGGGACCTCAGGCCACCCTGAGGCACCACCGGTGCTTCCCTTGGTGGCTTTCAACATACTAAATAGGAAATCAGAAGCTTGGCACATCACCACTCCCGTGGTGGAAGGTGTTTCAAAGTAAGGGTGGTGATCGAGGAGGCACCAGGTGGGACCTTTGCTGTCTCCATTGCCAACGGGCTGGGCAAGGTCTCTGGAGGCCTTACTGGGCTGTCCCTGCTCTCCCTGCACCTCTCTGCTACAACAGCAGAGCCCAAGGTGACCTTCAGAGGTTTAGAGACCATATCACTCCATTGACATGGGGGGGGATGCTCTTGGGACACAGCAGCCCCAAGGGTCACCAGGTCCTGCTCCATCTTTCTCCATGCAGAGCTTGTTTGTAGCCAGTGTCTGATGTCAACCTGGCATAGGAGCCAGCCTGGCAGCAGTTCTTCCTTCCCAGGCTCCACCACCTTTGCAGGCTGTGCTGCAGCTCCCCTCCCTCCCCTCTTTTCTGCTTGCAGGGAAAAAGATGGATATCTGTTCAGGTATTGAGAAAGGCTGCAAAAAACCTTTTATGGTAGGTTTTTGATCTGTGCAAAGCAGATTGTGTGGTGCAATAAAGGATTAAAGAGCAAAAAAAGGAGAATTCCTTAAAGCATTTGTTTAGTTGCTGCTAAATCTTCAATGTCCTGAGTGAAACTGTACCCCCAAATTGCTGTTGCTCCGTTAATGCAAACACAGTATGGGCTGATGAGCCACGGGCGAGGTGTGGAGCCAGCCCTGGGTGTAAATCCTGTCTGCTGCATGTTTGCACCAGTGCATGGTGCATTCTCTGCCCCAGCCAGCCCTCTCACATTTGGCTCGCTCCTGCCTGCAAACCAAGGGCCGCTACCAGGCAGGGTGTGCTCATCCTGCCCGCTCTGCTCCCTGTCTGGGCACCCAGCCTATTCCTGGTGGGTGACACCGCAGAGTCCCCTGGGCCACCTGCCCGGCTGTGTCGGCTGTGTCAACCACCATGCTGAGAGGCAGGACTGTCCTCCCGAGCAGTCTGGTTTTGCTCCCACCCTTTGAGAAAAGCTGTATTAGTCTTCTGCCTAATTGAGACAACTGGGAAGTGGTCCCTGGGCTCAAATACCGGCCCAGGGCTGGGCCATGAGCCCTCCTGCACTCCCTGGGCTGCAGATACAGGTAGTGTGGAAGCAGCTTTGGAAAAATCCCACTGGGCATCTGAGTGCAGCATCTGGGGAGCCTAAATCCCTGGGCAAGCCCAGCCTGGAGCAGGAGCCAGGTTGCTCCCAGCTGATGGGGAATTAAAAGCCTTGTGGGGTGAGAGGCCAGGGCAGGGGCTATGGGGCATCTCCCTGCCTGCTCTCCCTAAGGGCTTGTCCAGGCTGAATCCCCCTGCACGAGGCCCTGCAAAGTCTGGCCAGGCCCATTGACATGATAATACTATTAAACTTCAGCAATTTGAAAAACAATCAGTCAGCAAGAGCCCAAAGGGGGATGCTGGAAACCCCAGGCAGCCTCTGAGGGCATTGACCTGTCCCAGGCAGGACTCCCTCCACCCTTTGCCCACCCTCTGATATTTAATCTGGATTTTTCGCAAGGAAAATTAGATTTGTGGTCAGCCGTGCTGGCTGTCGGCTACAGCCCTGCCCTTGGGGCCCAGCTCTGGTTCTCCAGCAGCCAGGGTCCTGCTCCCTGCTCAGAGCCACCGCACTCCCCGCAGGCTGGGATTCTCCCAGTAGGACTGGTCCTGGGAGTGGTGTTAACAGGGCTTATTTTACTGGTTCACAGCCCACCTTTGCTCTGCAAAAGCCAGGGTTTGATGGCCTTGCACTCAAGTCATGGGTGTGTTAATTAGGAGGGAAACAATAGCTGGGTTCATGCTTCCCCTGCTCAGGGATGGAGTGGGAGCCTTGGGCTGGTGCACTCCTTCACCCACCTCAGGCAGAGCTTTAAAGGCAGGTTTAAAGGTTTAAAAGTGCCTGCTCAGCAATGAGACAGACAGTTGCATTAAAGTGCACGTAAGGGCCAGTGCATGCCAGCAGCACCGCACCACAAAAACACCCAGCGTCCGACTGTTTGTGCCACAGTCCCACGGTGCAGGGCTCAGCCCAAGTCAGCTGTAGCACAAGCTGCTTCACCGCCTCCAGTGCCTCATGGCTCTGCCCGGCTCCAGCACCAGAGCACCACGCTTGGGCGCCGCGGCCCTTCCATCTCCTCCTGCCCATTCCCGTGGGGCAGCTCTGCTGTTCCTGTTGCCCTTCCTGCAGACCATAGGGCAGGGCAGATCCTCTCTCAGCAGGTACCGCCATATCCGTTGCCTCTCTGGTATTCCCATAACCTGCGTCACTGGACATGGAAAGAGGAGCCATGGTGCTCTGGGGACATCAGCACTGGAGAACAACACTCTTGGGTCAGGGTTTGGAGGAACCCAAACTCTCTGGGCTGCATAGACAGCTCTTGTCCAGGCTAAAGGAGGGCATAATTCCCATGGGGAGAGCTGAGGTGACAGGAGCTGCCAACCAGAGCACCCTGGGCTGCTCCCGGGCCCCTGGCTGGACTGTAAGAGGAGGAGCAAGAGCTGAAGAAATGGGCCAACAGGAACCTCATGAAGTTCAACTAGGGGATGTGCAAAGTCCTGCCCCTGGGAAGGAACAACCCTGGGCACCAGGATGTGCCAGGTGCCGCCCAGCTGGAAAGCAGCTTGGCAGGAAAGGTCCCAGGAGTCCTGGTGCACAGCAGGTTGACCACGAGCCAGCAATATGCCCTTGCAGAAAAGGCTGCGAACAAACCGTGTCCTGGGCTGCATTAGGAGGAGTTTCACAGCATGAGGAGGGAGGTGATCCTTCCCCTCTGCTCAGCATTGGTGAGCCCACCCCTGGAGTGCTGGGTCCAGTGCTGGGCTCCCCAGAACAAGAGAGACAGGGACAGGCTGGAGAGAGTCCAGCGAAGGGCCATGAAGGGGATGAAGGGACTGGAGCATTTTTGCTAAGAGGAGAGGCTGAGAGAGCTGGGACTGTTCAGCCTGGAGCAGAGCAGGCTCAGGGGGATCCCATCAGTGTGTATAAATACCTGGAGGGAGGGTGCAGAGAGGACGGAGCCAGGCTTTTCTCAGTGGTGCCCAGGGACAGGACCAGAGGCCATGGGCACAAACTGGAACAGAGGAGGGTCCCTCTGAACATCACGAAACACTTCTTCACTATGAGCAGCTCCTTTAGATTGACCCAAAAGGATGGTTATTTTCTTAACTTGGTGCCCCTGCCCCAAGACAACATTTCTGAAATTAAATGTCTAGATTTATTTTGGTGCTGTTTAATACTTTTTAAATGACTGAGTCACGTCAGGTCAACCTGCTGGCCACAGTTCTCGTGATGCTGTCCAGGATATGGTTGGCTTTCTGGGCTGCGAGCGCACACTGCCAGCTCATGTCCAATTTGCCACCCACCAGTATACCCAAGTCCTTCTCCTTACAGCTGCTCTCAACCCATCCAGCCCGCAGTCTCTGCTGGTACTGGGGATTGCCCTGAGCCAGGTGCAGAACCTTGCACTTGGCCTGGTTGAACTTCATGAGGTTCATATGGGCCCAAATAGTTTGGGGGTTTGCTGATGTTTCTTTCTCTCTCTTTGGATGCGGTGGTTGACCAAAGCAGATGAAGTGGTTTTGGGGAGCGCACAGCTGACAGCACAGGAGAACTGCCCCATCTGCTTGTGTTGGTGGCACCAGGGGCGTCCCAAGAGCATCAGCTGATGGGCGATGCGAGCCAACGTGATTGAAAAGGCTGCCCTCTGGCCTCTGCACTGCTGGAAAAGCTAGGAAGCCAACAGCTGAGCAAAACCAGCAGAAGGGCCTCAGTTAGTACCAGGACTAAGAAAAAATAACAAAGTGTAGAAAGGGCTCTGAGCATTGCTGGATGAACTGGCATGTCTCCCAGGGTCCTGTCTCCCACCATGGCTGGAAGCAGGTGCTGAAAGAGGGTGAGCACAGAGTCCATGGGAGAGATGCTCCCGGCCACAGACACCCTGAGCCAGATGTGGCTCTGGC